TGCAACAGTTCTTTGTCCACCTTGGGTTTCAAGYAACTGCTCTACAAAGTCAMTAGGCTGAGGAACYTAGTCTTCTAACAGCTTGAARAAAACTTCAAGAACTTGACATGATACCTGCCACTAAAGGAATTAAACAGTTTGTCAGTCATATGAAAAAACTTTATTGTTACTGTTATACAATAATAGTTGACTTTCGCTATCTCTTTTACAATGTACACTGACACTGTGTTAGCCTCAATTGTGTGCAAAATATCCAGAAATTCAGATAAAACTCCTGAAATTTCAAACTATTTCCATTGTCTTCTATACTCACAGATCTCTTGAGTTGCAGGGACTGTTAGTGAAATAAAAGAATTTATTACATGGTTTTGAGGCTAACATCAGCGTAAAAGAGATTTCAGAAAGCAGTTGTCAATTTCTGCCCAAGAACAACAAAAAAATGCTTAAAAAAACAACCTTTTCTTCRACATCCTGGTAYCCTCTGGAGTTGAACTTCAAGAAGACYTCATTCAGTAGATACATGAGGTATGGTTCAAAACCAGGTGTMCGATATCCAGCACCAAGTGAAGRAGGAATAGGAATGTCTGTGAGRTCTTTTAGCAGACCAAGAAAAGATCTTGTCACCGGYTACGATTCACTACGGGATTCTATTTCATTCAATTCAACCTTGAAGATCAAACAGAGATTACTGTCTGTCTAATCTTATGGTCTTTGAAACAATCATCTTATAATTACCTGGATTCCTCTATCTTGTGCTGCCTGGCCTGGTTGCTGGACAGTAACTAAAATCTYCCATTTTCAAAGTAAAATGATTTAAAACTCTCGCTCAATGAAGCTTGCTTAATATATTTTCAAAATGAAGCAAGTTTCATGATGTTTTTTACCTGTGAAAGCTCCAAGGTATGCCAGAGTGAGGCAGCAATCTCTGGTGACTTTGCAAAAGCAGCCAAAGTGTCAAGAATAGATCCTTTCAATCTAATGTCAATAGGACAGCTAAGAAGACCAAAGAGAGACGCTATGGGAAGCCATGCTTGGCTCTCYCACAATGCAATTCTTGCTGTTTCATCCTGACATAAATGATAAATCTACATGTAAGTGTTGGTGCCTTTGATATACTTAATGATCTCTTAGCTTTTTTTTTCCCTTGAATTTTAAAGGATTACAATATTATTAAAGGCTTGAAGTTGTATAATTCATAACTACCAACCATCATTTACAAAATACATCACACACAATTTCCATTCAAAACAGAACTTGAGGAATGAGACTCAATGAGATGGCCAGAAACTATTGTTCACTTGAAGTTATAGCGGATTTCATATGAGTGGGAAATGGACGGTACTGTACTGTGACCGTAATCGTACTGTAACCAAATTCTAGTGCCCCATTGGTTCACCAAAATTGTGCAGGCCAGGTCCGGTAACTGTGCGGTAACCGTGCGGTAACGGTGTCCCACTCATACGAAATCCACTCTAATTCAGCACTTGCCTGTTCAGCAATTCTTTGAGTAACTTTGAGTACAGCCATCATTGCCTCTTGCTCTACTGGCATGATTCCTCTATTACTCACATGGGCTCTGTAACTTTGAACTGCATCTTTACCACCATAGCCTGAACACAAAAGAGGAATAATAACAAGAAAAAATTAACTTTTAAAATATCAAGTGACTGGCTCTTTCCAATAAAGAGAAATCATTTATCACAATAGACCAATCCCGCATTCGGCTGGATGAACATGAAACAATGGCTTCATTTCGAGGCTGGAGTTTTCGACAAAAGATAAAACTCCAGCCTTGAAATGAAGCCAAGCAAATGTGGGATTGGTCTATTTGTAACGTATTTACAGCTTTACACTGTCCTTTTCGCTCAGCCTCTGCCTACATACCTAAATGCCCTCCATCTTGTCTTAGGTCCACATAATACTGTTTAATTGAAGTAAAAAAGTGATCCCATGAGATGCTATTATTAGCWGTAGTCTTAAGCATATTAAAGCAGTGATGGGCTCCCTGTGGACTTGRTGACAGCCCAACTAGCATCTCCATATAAGGAATAAACAGTGGTGGTGGCAAAAGATCACCAGCAAGTCTGACAAACTTGTGAAGACTGACTTGCTTTGAGGAAAGRCTTTGGTTATATAATGGAGAAGTCATATGACCGATGTATGGTGATGAGGGTGTGGCTATAGGGTCAGGGGGGCACCAATAGTCGTCTGATAAATGTAGTTCTGARGGATCTTGTCTGTAGAGATCACCAATCTAAATAATCACAAACAATGTCAATTGATGGACTTTAAAAGGAAAATTTAATAAGAATTTAAAAATTACCAATTTCAAGAAGTCCTCAAAATGTCGAGGAAGGTCACTTGGTGGATCACGATTYTCTTGTAAGCATGCTTGTAGTATACGGCAAGCTTCATCTCCATGGTTACGCAGCTCCTTCACCTAAAGCATGATTGAGAAATCATAAGGAGTGCTGTCATCCTTGGAGAAAGATTACATACATGTTGAAATGATGTATAGCTTTACCTTTAATGGCATCTTAACAATAAAGCCTGTTACCAGCTGATGCAGTCTTCTGACATAGTAGTCCTGAATATAGAGTCAAGGAGGGAAGTAAATAAAGGTGTCAATGAGGCAAATGATTAGGAATGCTGGAATGGAATTGGAATGGGATACTGTAAGTATGGGATAGCAAAAATGGGAATGCGGAAGGACTAAGACAAAGTTATTTAAAATGATGTAGCATAGTTATCTCATATTACCTCATTGTGAAAGTTCTTTGCTCCAACAACACAAYTTCTCAAAAAATCAAACACACCCCGTTCAACTGATAAATCCAAGACTGTTTCATCATCTTCAAGGATTTCTGCTGAGGTTACCAAACTTGACCACTGGCTGCAAGATCTCAAAACCTGAGACCAGGCAAACTGCACACAGGCCAGTAAACCAGGATTGGCCCAGCCATCTTGTACAAAAAGCTCATTGTGGATCTCAGCAATGAATGTCTGGTCTGATAGTAGCGGCAGAGATTCCTCTGTAAAAAGACAAATATTTAACAATTTGAGAGAACTGTGTCATCCTCTGGTGCATTACTCAGGGTTCATGCTACATTTTCACTACAAAATCCCAGGACTTCTCAAGTACTTTTTAAGCAAAAAAATGCAATTTTCAAGAACTGTTTTTGAAGATATGTTTTGATGTTTGCAGATGCTTCAAAAGGTGATTTTCAAAAATAGCCACATTCAATCTAAAATCTAACAAGCAACATGTCAATTTCATCACATTCAAGGAGTTTTCCAGGGGTTTTAGCGATTTTTCCTATTTTCAAGGGCTTTTTAAGTGTCCTTGAAAACAAGTTTTCGATTCCAGGACTTTTCAAGGAGTAGCACAAACCCTGACTAGAGCCATCCTCTGTTGCATTACTAGAGGCATCCTCTGGAGCTATACTTACCACTAAAAGAAGTCTGCATCTCAGAAGCATCATCTAATGGTTCAACATTAAAGCAATACAACATGGCCATCAACAGGGTGAGTGTGACACTATCAAGTGTACCATCAACCTCTGTCACAGAACAGTCTTTTAAGAATSRCAACAACTGAAGACAGTCACTRTTTGACAAWGGTGACTGACAGGCAATGCAGAAAACACACTCTGCCAAGAGCTGTCGTTGGTCAGTGATGAAGTCAATCAACTGTCTTTTGTGATGTTCATCACCAATRGCTTGACCTTTCTGCAGTTTRTCAAGTTCAGTTTGGATGTTGAGTTCTTTCAGTTGCTTGAGAATGGTTTTGACAAGACCTAATAAATGGTGTACACATCAATATATATTAGATTGCCATATTACCATTAGATTGGCTGATACAGTACTTCGCTTACCTTCATTAATAAGCTGCTCTGTGTACATAGTTATCTGTCTTCCCATATCTTCACTTATCCCTAGAGTCCAAGTAATGCCTTCTCTAGACTGTAGTAATATCTTAAGAGCATTAACAAGACAACGACACCCATCYTGATACAGTAACACAGCCACAAGACCTCTGGTAAGACCAGGAAAGTTGGGTTGTTGTTGTTCTCCAGTAAGTAACAGCTCYGCACACACATACTCATTCAAATCTAAGATATCGCTTAAGATCACTGTTTCCTGGATAAACTGTTCTGGTAGCTTTTGCTTCTCTTGTTGGCCACTAAGGTGAATTCCAGTAGTAGAGGCTTTCTTTATTTCCCCTCTGTGAGCTGTGTTTTTTGCCTGTAAATTATGAAAATGAATTGTTTATCATGTTTTATCTCTTGACTGGCAGGGTTTATAATATTCTATACATCATTTGTATAACTTATTGCCATGCAAGCTTCTAGAATTTGAGAATTTTTGCGCATGACAGCAGAAAGCATGTTTTGATCATGGAGTTCWTGCAATCATCAATGTACAAAACTTGTTCTATGTTTATTTCTAGTTCAGGGAAATCCATATAATCCATTTAAGAATTTAAACTCACGGGTTTTTTCAGCAGGGACATGAAATCAGGTTTAAATTTCTTGAGAGCAATTTCCAAGTCATGCTGGAATTCGGGCTTTTTCCGATAAACTGCACGTTCTACAATGTCAAGTAGCTCTTTGAACGGCCTCCAAACACCTGTTAATAATATAAGGTAAATAGATTGGGTTAAAATGAACCAAAACAATGCAGATTGTACATATTTTGAAACTTTTACCTTCACTTTGAYCCGCCATTTTGAATCGGCGCGAAACGTGTTTGCTTGGTATCCCTGTCTACTTGCTCGACAGATTAGGACTAAGCACTACCACGTGATATTGTGAGCGATTAGTATTCAAAATTTCACGTGATTTAATATTAGATGTTGATTGGACAAGACTCACAGTAATATTTCTGTTTATCTAGTCATGTGATGCAAARTCTTGATGGTGATTGGTCAAAATTTCTCAACAGCGTCTGTCACTGAAACCCGCGTAAAATTGAACGCGCCAAAAAGTTCACAACCGATTTGGAAGTTCACACTTCAGACACTAGSRAATTATAAAGGCGATTTTTCGTGAAAATATCAGCTTTTTCCAGCTGAAATTGTAAACACACATTCTTTAGGTGTCAAGGAATCAGCTGTTCMACTTTCATCTCATTTTACTGTGTTTTGGACGAGAATTTTAGGTGAGTATTGTTATCTATGGGAGGAAGATGGTCGAGTGTCCCGCGGAAACCCGTTGCTCGTCTTGTGAAACCTACAATTTGTTGCAAATGGAACTTGATAWATAATACCAAAGCCTTACTGTCGTTGCTTAGATAGTTATTCTTTGTGGTGGTTTGATATTTTGGTCTAATATGTTTATTTTAGGATAAATTCACGATTATAATACCAAGAAATACTGGTCAATTGACKACCAGTCGGTTCGCGCGCTGAAATTTACAACTGAAGACTGCATATAATATAACATCTGAACAAATATACAATTGATCTGCCCCTTATTTGCTAAATACTTATTTGCAGACAGTCTTATCCATCAATGAAGACCTTCTTGCAAGAAGGATGTGGAGAATCAAGAGATTCAGAACGTGATCCAAGAAGTAGTCGATCGATAAACAGACATCCATCTCTCGCAGACATCCCTACGATCGCTTCWAACTGTAGATCAAGCCCAATAATGYCAGAAGAAAAAGACTTTAATGTGAACAAACCATCTAAAGCAGCAGTGTTAGATTCAGATATTGCCAGYACAGAGAATTCGATCGTATTACTAGCCGCTCAATCACAAGACATCCAACAAGACATAAGCAGTCTCGTACCTGCTACTCCTCCAAAGTTACCTAAAGATCAAGCCACACATCAACAAACTACATCAACAGAAGAGCCTCTAACTCCTACAGCAAATCTTAAAATGTTYGTTAGTGCAGCAAGCCCAGCAATAAGAGARCGAGAGAGCAAGAAACGTGAACTTTTCACCGACTCGGGGGAATCTGAACCGCCAAGTCCAAACAACCCATGTGTAGTACCATCATTTGCATTGCCGATGTTTGATTCAAAAGTCGTATATCGTAATGGTAATTTTGTACATATTAATCCACAAGATGGKTCGGAAAAGATGGCAATCAGTCGAAAGGATAAATCTCTTGGTTTACTATGCCAAAGGTAACGCTTCGTAAAATCAAGATGGCGTTACTGGTTCAGTGCTTTTGCCGCCATTTGTTTGAATTTATAATGAGCATGATTTATTTTGGCGGGGCTGTTACTTGATTAGATATTTGCGATCACTTGCAAAATTGAAATCAAAGCTATTTATTAATCAATATTGGTCTAAACTTTAAAGGAATTGCAATACAATTTATTGTTTTCCAGTGATATTTGAAATGAATTAGTCACACTACTTAATTTAACACTTTCCCTCCAAAAATAACCAACTAGATCCCCTGGGGAGAGGGGAGGGGATAGGATCAACATGCCTRAAGTAGTTCACCTTACTTGCATTGTACACTTAGAAAACAATGTCAGTGTTATTCTTATAACAGGTTTCTTGCCAAGTATCCTGAAAACCCTTTACCTGACCAAAGAATTGAGATCAGCCTTGATGAAGTTGCAAAAGATTTAAGTAAGTATTTACAATGTAAAATATTTTCATAGATATTTTGAAATTGTCATTATCAAAACATGACTTTAGACTATGTCAATGTAATAAGAATACCATTCAGAAAACATAATGTACAAAGAAATTTTATGCTGGAATTTTAAAGTTTTCACCTTTTCATTTGCAGGTGTAGAGCGGAGACGAATCTATGATATTGTGAATGTTTTAGAGAGTGTTGAAGTGATCAGTAGATTTGCAAAAAATAGATATATGTGGCATGGKAAAACCAAGCTACCACAGACACTTGCTAAACTCAAGGTAAGATCCATAAGGCTACTTCTGCCAACATTTAAAGAAGTCCTCAAAAAGCTACAAAAACCTTGAAAGCTTGTGCTAAGATTGCCAATGTGATGTTTGACTAGTCAACTTTAAAACTGCTATATCATTCATTCACAGCTCATTTTCATAAATTCTTTTTTTTTTTTACTAGAATTATGCTATGACCCATGGTTTTACAAATAAAGGAGGAATTTCAGAAAAAGAAAACCCACAAAACTTCATCTCAAAAAACTTTAACTTAGAGAATCCATCAAGCAACTTATATAGTCAGGTTAAGGTAAGTTATCAAAGTTTATGCCTGTGTACTTATGGCTTTAGCTGATATCCAGTGTTTTTATAGTTTAATGCAATAAAAAGGATTTTTATATCTTAAACTATGGATTTCTTATAACTCCCCATTGTTTATCACATAATACATCACTTTTTTTTTCTTTATCTGATTGATTCTGCAGGGWACAAAACCTGGAACAAATGAAAAATTACCACAACTTTTACCTAAGAATAGCAAAGGTTTCCTTGCTGGTATGGGATGCCTGTCTAGTGTTTTTGATAACTATGATGARGAGGCAGTAGCCTGGGCAAGAAAACAAAAAGGTGACAATTTTGCAAAAGTTCTTCACAAACACATATTAACAGGGTCCGTGCAGGTCCTTAAATCCTTGAAAAGTGCTTGAATTGAAAACTCGTTTTCAAGGGCACTTGAAACTCCTTGAAAATTTGAATCAAAAAAGTCCTTGAAAACTCACGAAGCGCTAGCGATCTCTGAATTATTCCATTCAGCTGAAGTTTTGAGGTAAGAATGTACAATTAACATGATTTTGATGCTCCTTGAAAATACAATTTTGGTCCTGGAAAAAGTCCTTAAATTTCGTTTTTGATYCTCTGCACAGACCCTGTATTAATAACATTGGCATATAAAGTCTATGTTTGATTAATAAATAATTATTGGATTGTCTTGTAACATCCATTCTCTAAGAGTGGCCTTTAGCAATCAACATCCTGAGCTCCTTCAAATAATATGAAAATATAACTTGTTTTTTCAGAAGCAGATTATTGCAGGAAAGACAAGTCTCTAGGTGTGCTGAGTCAAAAYTTTCTAATGATGTTCTTGATATCAGAGGTAAGTTAATATAATCTTTTTATCTTCAGTCAATACATAATGAAGACTTGAGGATTTATTTATTTTTTCTCAGACAAGACAAGTTACTCTTGACGATGCAGCAAATCTTTTGATTGATGAGCAGGAAGAAGGAAAGGCCAAYTACAAAAGTAAGTCTATGGATTGATTACATTGCGAGTGTTATTAGCTGTATGTACAAACAAGCCATTTTGCACACACTTTATTAGACCCAGACCCTTCTGTGACACAGGCAACCCAATACATGAAAATTATCATTACATTTTAGTGTTATAACAGTTGGAGTATGATAGTTTTATAAATATTCCTTGTTATTGTTTATAGCCAAAGTGCGTCGTCTTTACGACATTGCCAACATCTTGTCCAGCCTTCAGCTTATCCAGAAAGTCCATATTCACAATATTCAAAGTGGAAGAAAGCCTGGGTTTAGATGGATTGGAATGGATCTTGATGAACTAGAAATTCAAACAAAACATCCCAGTAAGTCTTATTGAATGGTAAAACTTGTTCGTTTAAGATTGTTACCATTGCTATAAAGTTGCAATTGAGCTTGTATCGCACCTTCAGTCTTAAACTAATGTTTTATACAATGTTTCTTTCTGGAAAAAGGAGCCAATTCTCACAGATTCTTACATCCATGTGTTCATTTCCTTTTGCTATAATGAAGAACATACTGGTACATGAAATTTAATCTAATTTTTTTTTAGTCAAATCATCCAATGCCTCCAAGAAGACTGTAAAGGCAAAGAACTCATTAGTTGAGAAGGAATCAGAGGAAGAAAGTAAGTGTCAGCAGATAAATGTAAAGTAAAAGGTTTTTTGCTATGGAAATAATAAACAAAATTCACAAATTATTTTACTATGTTTCAGGTGCATTTGGTCGTTTCATCAGTCGCCGTCCAAGCCAACAACAACTGCGACGAATCAAGCCTGATAGAGCTGCTAAAAGCAAGCTTCCACGCTCAAGGTCTGATAGAGTGTTAACCAGCAAAAAGAGGGTCTTGTCCTCTGATGGCGAGAATGTTAAAAGTGGTGAGGAAGATGGTTATTCTGTACAGGAAATCATTAATTTGAAAGGTACAGTAGTTCATGAGTATTTGCTTATAATTACAAATTTGCAATTTTAATGTTTATGTTTTTTAATTAGGGAATAATTCTACTGTAAGAAGTCCTGATTCTGTGAAATTTCACTCTGAATTGATGAAACTGAAGGAGCAATARCCAGATCATATCCTTTTCTGCAATATTTATGTTCTTTAAAACTGTTTAGTTAATGTCTTTGCTATATGTACTGTAGCTKGGCACTAGTGCTCTTGGTGAACCATTTTTCTTTYTAGRTTYACAATAAATTTGTGGTTTCCTTGACTTTGAACACGTATGCAGCAGTTGRTGTCAGCTTGTACAACTTTACAAGGTGCACCCACTGARGARAAGAGAAGCAGAAGAACWCTCTTTGTTAGCGAAGCATACGTGGATGCGCCACTACCCAAGCGACGCAGAAGTGARGGTGATGTTGTAGAAACTTCCTTTCCCTCACCTCCKAAACCAGTTATCAGTCAASRYGCTGAAGAAAAGCAAGATAGAGAACAAGGATTGAAACAAGGATCACCMGAGCAGAAGATTTTGTTAGAAAGAAAGAAACAAAAAAAGCTGTTAGAAGAACAGAAGAATTTTCAGCTTGAAGATGAAAGATGGAAAAGAATGGAAAAAGAACTTCACAAGGCTTTTTCTAAACCTGAATCAACAGTTTCAAACAATGACTCTAATTTATTTGATAAATTCCATCCATCTATAGGAATTCAGGCTAGTCTTATAGCTGATGTTAGTCCTCTRAAGCCACTTAGTCACTATGTACAAAATATGCAACTGCCKAARGGTYCAAATGGTGTRCTACCAAACAGTACAAGAGGCTTGATATCTAACAGRACAAATAGTSTACAYCAACAAGAAATCAAGAATGTGCCTYCTTCTTCATCTCCTAGTTTTCAAAGTATGGGACTTTCTCCTTTAGTATCTAACTCAATGAATGTTTCTACATCTGTAAATGAAAATACAATGGTGTCCGCCTCTGGTAATAGTTTGTCACCAAGGAATTTAAAGCTGATGTCCTTGGCATCTGTTAACTTGCCATCATTATGGAAAATGCCAGCATGCTCTGTGCCTTCGTTGCAGACCACTCAGCCATCACTGTACCTCACCATGCCTCAACAGCAAGTCRTGTCGTCTGCWATRAACAYTAATCACCAGGGTCCTTCTTGTGTCATGTCAACGTTAAAGACGGSTGGTGACYGGAATGTCTTTGGTAATGCAATGCAAGCAAAGACAACTGGTTTACAGCCTCCGACAGTTTCCCTACCAGTGAATATTGTAGGTTCACTGAATACCCAAGGATTGATCCACAAAACAATGCCTTGTGTACAGAATAACAATACAKCAAGACCTGCTGTCAACATGCCCTTCACACCAAGAATGACKCTAGCTTCTGTACCTGATATGACAGGGGTACGACCCCTTTTGACCACACCCAACCAGGTGACTCCTATCCTGCCTAAAGTCACAGGACAGCAATTGTTTTCACCCATGGCATCTGGCACACCAGGTAGCGATACCTCTTTCTTACATTCAGAAATAGCCAAGAAATTAGRTATGCCAGAATGTAATGTAACCCAAAGCTAAGGGTTTAGGAATATTATAATTAGGTTWACAATTTTCCTCTTGAATTCAGCTCATTTTAAGTCTGATCTGAAAGATTACCTTCTAAAGTGTTCATTATATTTTTTTAAAGAAAAAGACTTGATWAGTGCACATGTGAGCTGGTTTTAGGTAGATATTGAATTCGGAATAGATTCTTTAATGGTATGGAATAGCTACTAAAAGCATTTAACTTTTTATCGGGATATGAATCACTTTTATTGGCATGAAAACTAGCATACATTTTCTCTGATTTTTCAATATTTTTATACGTTAAAAGCAATTACAAAGAAACGACATATGGTARCAGTGAATTAGTTTATTTATATGTGATTTCCTTTTTCAATTATTTAATCGATTTTATAATACAGGCATAACAGTTAAGCAAGCTAACGATATTCATCATTCTAACTATTTTTATTACCTTATTGGAAATCGTTTTGGAAAAGAAAGCGTTATTGAGGTACAAAAATTATATTCCAATCTTTCGTGAAAATTGCGAATAACAAGTTTAAACTGTTAATACTGTGTTGGTTTTCAGGAAACCAATCAGAGAAAAAAAAGGTTTTTGAACATTTMTCTGTTTTAATGATTTATACGAAAAGCCATTTCAATGTTATATTACGCCACATTTTACGTGGTGAATAACCAATGTGATTGGTCGAGCCTTTCGTGCTTTGCGTATGTCATCAATTTTTGGCGGGAAAAACACAAGCAGTCATCGACATTTCGTCGACTAGTGTTAATATTAGAGATTATTAATTCATTAGATTGTCTAATGTTTTTCGTGTAATGTATGAAATAAATAAACTATTTTGTTCACAAAGTCGCCCAATGTCTCCCACGTTAATTTTTGGGGCCATTGTGTCGAGAAAGTACAATGTTCTGTCCATGACCGTAATCTCTGGTATGGCTACTCAAAGCAACTAATTATCTTTATGATTCTCGTGTTTGTAATATTTTAAGCCTCTTAAATCTTCAGACTTAGAAATTTGGCTCTTTTTGCGACCTCTTTATGAATACCTTAGCCTCGGTGACGTTGMTACTAAGGAGCACACGGACGTGAAAAGAGCGCTTTCAAAGTTTTGTTTGATAYGACCTGTCATTATGTCGGAAAAGCGCACTAAACTTTACACCGGAGAGATTTTTTCAGGGTAAAAAAACGGAAAAATTGTGACAACTATGTTTGCTCTATGGTGTCATGTATGTTGAAAACTACATGGCTGTCTCAATTTCGCGTCATTTTGGTCTTGTTTTATGTCAACTTTAAGAACTTGAGTTAATGTAATCGATGGTTTTGGTGTTATGTTCAAGGAAGYCTGTCGACAAACAGCACAAGACGTTAAGGCGTAGATAAACTAAAATGCATAGAACAACAAACTCTTTCCGCCAATTTCACCGATGGTGACACGTACCCGAACCATCTTGCGGCGACATTAGATCTACCTTTATCGATCAACGCACTTACATTCCCTTTGCCGCCCATTTTTCCTTTTGTGAGAATAAATTTCCTGAACTATGCTGTATGTGTGGTGTCAAATATCCGCGTTAAGTCGCATTGATAAGGCCTCGAGCACGGTGCCTTTAAATCGATTACTTGAAGTTATTAAGCTTTCATTTCCACGTCTAAAAAACAGTCATTGCGAGGTAATACCATCTTGCGCGTTTTTTATTTCCCCCTTTTTAGAACGTTACATGTAATTGCTTGAGGCGAGATGAGCGTAGATGATGAAGAACCAGACTGATAAGAAACTCCCGTCTAGAGAGGACTAAAGGGAGATTTCTACTACCCTGACGTTAGGCTAYGAAAAAATAAAGAACTAATACTAACCTAACCTTGCCCTCATCGAAACAATTCAATATATGACTTGAACTCGGCGCGCGAATGTTTTGCAAGAAAAGCTTTTATCTTAAGTGCAAAAGTTGTTTTTTTAATTTTCATGACTGAGGCTTGTCAAGTTTCAGGTCAAGTTACGTTTAGTGAATTGGTCTACATTTAAGAGAAAAGGACTTTTAATATTTTGTAAATAGTATTATAAGTAAAACCGCGGTCATGCTCCAATCCTAGCTGACCCGCCCTTGGCTTGTTTAAAGCATTAAAATGTGTTTCACAAAGCATTGATTGTTATCCTTGCTAGGGGCATCTACAGGGGTATCTGTGTACACCCCTTTACTTACCAGACGCTTAATAAGAGGGTGCTTGAAGTACATTATTAAATWTTGGCACATATATGGTGGCTGATAAAAGAACACACATCTTAATAATTGCCTGCAATATTCCTTGTCCCGTCTGTTCCTTTTTCTACTTCTTTCTTTCTCTTCCCAGTTTGTTTCATCTTCGTCATCGTCAGATTTCATCGCTTATCTTCATCATTGTCTCCACAGTTATCAGCCTTGTCGCGATATGACGTCTGTTTTCTATAAATAAGCGAACTTATTCAATGCTTTTTATTCAGGTTGCGTCTTAATTTTTATTGGCTTTGATCCGCATGCAATAATTGTGGGCAGTGTGGGCTTCTTTCGTGGATTTTTTTTCTTTTATTTTCATGGTTTTTGCTACCTTAATTCCTCATGCATAAACCCACCTCGACAATGAAATGTATTTTAGTTCTCCTTAACGCTAAGTGATCTTACAAGGGGAGGAGAAACTGGCACTAGCTATATATGGCCCGTTTATCATAAAACAACTCACATGGCTGCTGGGGAAGAAAAAGTCGGCACTGACAAAACCCCAGACAATTGACTCATTCCTTTAATCACTCTCATTCATTCAATTTTCCCTCTATATTTTCATCTATAATGATTCATTAAACTATGAATATATCCCGGAATCGCCTCCTTCTAAACACTATAACTTTCTTTCATTTCTATATTATGAATATATCAGTCCATAACAGCTGACTAYCCTGAGGCATTATCAAATCACGCGGGAAAAAACAAATGGCTTGTCGTTCTTGTTATCAGTCGTTATCATAAAACTAAAAGTTAAAAAAAWCC